TCCGGCGGCACGGCAGCAGCGGGAGGCCCCCTTAGCTAACATGGTACTTCAGGTTAAGAACAGTTTCCGGTTGGGACAAGGATAACTGTGACTTTAAAGATGAATGGGAACCCTTTACAAAGTATTTGAAGACACAACAAAGTGAACTGGTCTCCTTGGCTGGTTTTGAATAAACATTCACAAACTTTTTATTGATAATAATCAGCTAAATAGTTTGAGGATCTATACAACTGTGTGACATGCAGAAAACAGCATTTTTAGAGAAATCAAAGACTGGAACCGAGGGAAGTCGGGGGTGGGGGTGGGTGGGTTCTGTGGGGGGAGGGAGGAAAAAAGGGGGGAAAATAAGGATGGTATGTTTCTGGATAATATCTTTTGTTTAAATTTTGAATAAAAAAGTTATTAAAAAAAGAACAGTTTCAGGTTAAGAACGGACCTCTGGAACGAATTAAGCACTTAACCCGAGGTACCACTATAGTTGGAAGGAGATTACCGTATTTTTTGCTCTATAAGACTCACTTTTCCCCTCCTAAAAAGTAAGGGGAAATGTGTGTGCGTCTTATGTGCAGCTATCCCAGAAGCCAGAACAGCAAGAGGGATCGCTGCTTTCACTGCACAGCGATCCCTCTTGTTGTTCTGGCTTCTGAGATTCAGAATATTTTTTCCTTGTTTTCCTCCTCCAAAAACTATGGTCTGGTGCGTCTTATAGAGCAAAAAATACGGTAATCTAGTCCAACTCTCTGTAAGGCAGGAATCACAGCTCAAGAATTCCAGACTGACAGCCGTCCAGACTCTGCCTAGAAGCCACCAATAAAGGGGAAATCCACTACATTTGGAGTCCAACAATCTCAAACAGCTGGGCTCCCCAAGGAGCCCAACGTCGTCTGACAACAACCGATAAGCATCTTTTAAAATATTAACCCCAGATGAAGACTGGAGCGAGGCACAAAGAGGAAGGTATTCAGCAGGCACCCAAAGGACGCCTGTCTAATGTTTAACAGGAAAAACATCCCACGGGGAGGCATTCTGTTCTGACATGTGTGGAAAAGACTCCCTGGAAGACCTCACCTGCAGAGTGCAGGGGTCTACTGAGTATATAAGGGGGGAGAGATGATCTTTTGGGTTATTCCAAGGCTTTATGCACCAAAAAAAGCACCCGGAACTTGGCCCTGATTGGCGGCTGGCGGAATTCTCTCAACCTCAGAGTGTCGGAATGCATTCCATTAATGTCTTAATGGAATTAATGGAATGTCTTCCCTTTACAGTATTGATTTTGTGGTGAAATCAAACACAAGCAAAGTTGTTAGGCAAGCGCCTTAAACAATAGAATTCTCTTAACTTGGAATGCAAACTACAGTGGTACCTCGGTTCTCAAACTTAATCCGTTCTGGGAGTCTGTTCCAAAACCAAAGCGTTCCAAAACCAAGGCACGCTTTCCCATAGAAAGCAATGCAAAATGGAGAAATCCGTTCCAGACTTTTGAAAACAACCCCTAAAACAGCAATTAAACATGGATTTTACTATCTAACGAGACTATTGACCATTAAATGAAAGCAATAAACAATGTACAGCAGTACCTCAGGTTACATACGCTTCAGGTTACATACGCTTCAGGTTACACACTCCGCTAACCCAGAAATAGTGCTTAAGGTTAAGAACTTTGCTTCAGGATAAGAACAGAAATTGGGCTCCGGCGGCGCGGCAGCAGCAGGAGGCCCCATTAGCTAAAGTGGTGCTTCAGGTTAAGAACAGTTTCAGGTTAAGAACAGACCTCCGGAACGAATTAAGTACTTAACCTGAGGTACCACTGTACTGCAGTCACACAATCAAACAAACAAACAAACAAACAAACAAACAAACAGTAACCCATCTGGGTTCCACACAGTCACAAAAACAAAACAAAATAGAGCCACAAAATGCAAAAATAGACAGATTTCAGCGTAACACTCAAATTGGAAGTGTGGGACTCAAATCGGAAGCATCACACTCAAAACGGAGCATGTTCGGCTTCCGAAGAAAGTTCACAAACTGGAACACTTACTTCCGGGTTTGCAGTGTTTGGGTTCCAAGTTATTTGAGTGCCAAGGCGTTTGAGAACCAAGGTACCAGTGTAGATCTTCACCTGCCAGCCCCTTCCCTTAGGTCTGTGTGCTTTATGATATTGATTTTGTGGTGAAATCAAACACAGCCCAAGTTGTTAGGTAAGCGCCTTAAACAATATCATAGATAATACACCCATATTTCCCGCTAGTGAGTCTACAAAGTCCAAACCCCTGCAATAGAGGAAGAGCAGCAGAAAGAGAAAGGGAATCATTTCCACCCTTTTTTTGCTTTGGCTCCATCCTTCAAGAGAGGCTGAAACCTCTGGGATTTTGGCAAACACTTAGAAGTAGCCTGGTATTAAAGGTAAAGGGACCCCTGACCGTTAGGTCCAGTCGTGACCGACTCTGGGGTTGCAGCGCTCATCTCGCTTTATTGGCCGAGGGAGCCGGCGTACAGCTTCCGGGTCCTGTGGCCAGCATGACTAAGCTGCTTCTGGCAAACCAGAGCAGTGCACAGAAACGCCGTTCACCTTCCCACCAGAGCGGTACCTATTTATCTACTTTCACTTTGACGTGCTTTCGAACTGCTAGGTTGGCAGGAGCTGGGACTGAGCAACGGGAGCTCTCCCCGTCGCGGGGATTTGAACCGCCGACCTTCCGATTGGCAAGCCCTAGGCTCTGTGGTTTAACCCACAGCGCCAGCCTGGTATTAGCATAACTAAATTGCAAGCAAGAGGGGCAGAGGAGACTGAGAAACAGCGGCTGACGACAACCTTGAAGTATAGTCCAACGCTGCTTTGGTCAGGTCACTGAAAGGACACAAAAATTGGTGCTGAAGCAAATGCAGCAATGGCAGCCTGCATCCCCACCCCCTCCTTTATTTGTTTGTTTGCTTGTTTCATAAAATCTTATACATAAAATCTTATCTTATACATAAAATCAATACAGCTTGATTGTAACACATAAAGCAGGGGTCAGCAAACATTTTCAGCAGGGGGCCGGTCCACTGTCCCTCAGACCTTGTGGGGGGCCGGACTAAACAGTATTTTGAAAATAATAATAATGAATGAATTCCTATGCCCCACAAATAACCCAGAGATGCACTTTAAATAAAAGCACACATTCTACTCATGTAAAAACACCAGGCAGGCCCCACAAATAACCCAGAGATGCATGAATGAATTTTATTATTTCGGTCACAGACCAGTTCCAGCCAACACACAATATCAAGGAAGTCATAAAACACGATAGGGATACATTTGAAATTGCAATTAGGTATCACAGGGGCAGTACAGATATAGCAACAGTTTAAAAATACTGTATACAAATTAAAACTTAGGCCCAGAGATACATTTGAAATAAAAGGACACATTCTACTCATGTAAAAACCCGCTGATTCCCGGACTGTCCGCAGGCCGGATTTAGAAGGCGGTTGGGCCGGATCCGGCCCCGGGGCTTTAGTTTGCCTACCCATGACATTAAGGAACCTCGAAGCAGTTTACCGAAAGAAAGATAAAAAGATCACCAAGCAAAATTAACAGCAATGATTTAAGACTCTTGAACACTTAAAAACAGCAGTAGGCTAAAAAAATTGAAGTATTTGAGTGAGGCGTTTGTAGGGCAAGAAGATTATGCTTTCCAAGGAATATTCAGAAAGTAAAACTTTCAAAAAAACCCAACCCAACGGTAGCCAACAACCCGTCTGCAATATCTCGGTAAATTATGACAATATGACTTGGCATAATTTTATCAATGGCTGCTGAGTGTGCCAGTTTGACTGCAAACGGATTGCAAACCTGTGTTTTTAAATGCCATTTGCCAGGACAAGCTGAGTATGGGACGCAGGCCAATAAATAAATAAATTCAAATATGTTTTGCTGCACTGCACTGGAACACAGTGTCCAGTTATAGCCACGTTTCAGGATTGGGGAGGGGGTAAAGTGAGGGGGGGGGAGAGAGGAATGCTGTTGAGAAAAGGTTTGGTAGCTGAGAAAAACCGCCGGGCCCTGCAATCAGCTGGGTGGAGTTTATTATTATTATTATTTCTGGGGCTGCAAGTTCGCAGGGCTGTGGTTGGTGGTCAAAAGAGCCTTATTAGCGACAGCCCATCGCCTTTCTGCATTAAGAAGGTCTATATCAGACGTAGCTGCTGCAACCATCCTTCCCTCCCTGGGCAATGTATTCCACGGCTCACACACCTGGCGGTAAGGTGTGAGCCTCAGAGAGGGGTCTGCCGACACCCCTGCGAGGTAGTCCCCTGCGACCATCCCTCCCTTGACTGACAGGTGCCGTGGGCAAGCCAGGAGGGCGGCGGAAACAGAACAATTTACAACAACATCACAGCAGTCAACTTTCCCCTTTTCTTGCGGGGAATCTTATTCCGAATAAGGGAATTTCCCTTTAAAAAAGGGGAAAGTTGACAGCTATGCCCCACATCTGTACATATAAAGCAGGGCAGATGTGGTACCCTCCTTGCCAGGTGTTACCTGCAGGTAGGCACACCTGTCCGTCACGCCAGGGGGGAGGGGTGACCCCGCAGCTGGGAGAAAAGGCCTACCGACACCCCTGCGAGGTAGTCCACTGCGACCATCCCTCCCTTGATTGACAGGTGCCGTGGGCAAGCCAGGAGGGCTGGGACGGAGAAAAGGAATAATTTACAACAACCCGGCAGTGCAGACCCACACCTGTACATATAACGCAGTGCAGACGTCTCCCCGCCTCGCCAGGTGTTACCTGCAGGTAGGCACACCTGTCCGTCGCGCCCTGCTGGGAGGGGTCACCCCGCAGCTGGGAGAAAAGGCCCACGACACGCCCGCGAGGTAGTCCGCTCTCACCGCTCCCTCCCTTTTGCCGCCTGCCGCGATCTGCAAGGTGCAGGGGCTGGGGAGCGCTAGGCGGCTCTGGGTTCAAGTGCTGCGCGGAAAGGGAGCAGCAGGAGGAGGAGCCAGCGCTAGGTACCTTTCTGGGGCGCGGTGGGGCCACGTCTTGCAGCGGCGGGAGTCGGGAGCGGCCCCCAAGCGCCCAGCAGCCACGCCACCAGCAGGAGCAGCAGCCTGCGCGGGGCCATGGAGCGGCGGGGGGCGCACGGAGGATCCGCGCTTCTCGGCGCCCGCCGCCTTTATGCGCCCGGCGGCCGGCCGAAGGAAGGGCGATGCAGATAGAGACCCATGTTGGCTTGGAATGCGCCGCCGCCGCCGCCGAGGGAGCAACTTTCCCTTTCGCTTTCCCTTTCCGCGGAATTGCCAGCTGCCGGGTTGCGCGCTTTCTCGCCCTGGGGAAGGGGCTGGGCCCGGAAAGGTCTCAAGGCCCGTGGGAACGGGGTGAGGGGGAGGAGGAGGAGGGCTGCCATCCCAGGGGAAAGGGGCCTGCCCGGTCCGCTCCCCTCGCCGATGTGTACCCCCTGAGCACGTGCAGAGTGCCCGGGAGAAAAGGCCATTAATTCAGGGATGGGGCGTGGAAGATACCGTACGCAGTATGGCGCCACTGCAGGAACCGAGAGAGTAGACGAGATGGGAGATCTGCGTTCCTTTCTGCCAAGGGGATGGAGTTCCTGAGCACGTGCAGAGTGCCCCGGAGAAAAGGCAATTAATTCAGGGATGGAGCGGGGAAGAGATCGTGCGCAGTATGGCGCCGCTGCAGGAACCGAGAGTTGAGTAGATGGAGATCGGCGTTCCTTCCTGCCCAGGGGATAGGAGTTCCTGAGCACGTGCAGAGTGCCCCGGAGAAAAGGCAATTAATTCAGGGATGGAGCGGGGAAGAGATCGTGCGCAGTATGGCGCCACTGCAAGAACCGAGAGTTGAGGAGACGGGATGGAGATCGGCGTTCCTTCCTGCCTAGGAGATAGGAGTTCCTGAGCACGTGCAGAGTGTCCGGGAGAAAAGGCAATTAATTCAGGGATCGTACGCAGTATGGCGCCGCTGCAGGAACCGAGAGTTGAGGAGACGGGATGGAGATCGGCGCTCCTTCCTGCCTAGGAGATAGGAGTTCCTGAGCACGTGCAGAGTGTCCGGGAGAAAAGGCAATTAATTCAGGGAGATAGGAGTTCCTGAGCTCGTGCAGAGTGCCCAGTAGGAAAGGCAGCCCTAGGACGGGGCTCAGAAGATAGATGGAGAGATTGAATGGCCACCTGTCATGGCTGCTTTAGTTGAGACTTCTGCATAGGGGTTGGATTAGATGACCCCTCGGTGTCCCATTCCCACTCTACAGTGCTTTGGTTCTCTAATATCAAGGGGTTCCTGAGCAGATGCAGAGTGCTCAGGAGGAACGATATGCAGTACCTATAGCACTCCTGCGGGAGTGGAGATCAGCTGTGTGCGTTTCTTCCTGCCAAGGTGAAGGGGTTCCTGAGCATGAGCAGAGTGCCTGTGGGAGGGAAAGCCTACCATAGCATGGGGCTTGGGAGACGGAGAGGATGGATGAGCTAATTGAGATTCCACCATTGCAGGGGATTTGACAAGATGACCCTTGGGGTTCCTTCCAACTCTATAATATCAAGGGTTTCTGAGCACGTGCAGAGTGCCCAGGAAGCAAACCAACCCTGGGAGAACTGCCAGGCTTGTATCCCAACTGTTCAGAATGGACCTATTGAAATTAATGGGCCTAAGTTCGTTGGTTTTTTTTTTAAAACAAAAATCAGTGGATCTACTCTGAGTAGGGCTAACTTAGAATATAACCCTAGGCATGGTGTAGTGGTTGGTCAGAGGACCTGGGAGATAAATTTGCTTTTTAAAAAAATATTTTTTATTAGAAATTTCAACATAACAATTTATCAAAAACACACCATCCTAATCCCCCCCCATTTTCCCCTCCCCCTTCTCCAAAAAAGGAAAAATCCACCCTCCCACCCCCAGACTTCCCTCAGCTCCTCTCTCTGGTTTTTCAGCACATGTTATTCTCTGCTTATTATAAAATTGTAAAGATCCTTAATTCATCTATCTATATATTACCAATAAAAAGTTTGTGTATGTTTCTTCAAAACCTGCCAAGGAGTCCAGTTCATTTTGTTGTTTCTTTAAAGGTAAAGGGACCCCTGACCATTAGGTCCAGTCGCGGCCGACTCTAGGGTTGCGGCGGTCATCTCGCTTTATTGGCCGAGGGAGCCGGCGTACAGCTTCCGGGTCATGTGGCCAGCAGGACTAAGCCGCTTCTGGCGAACCAGAGCAGCGCACAGAAACACCGTTTACCTTCCCGCCGGAGTGGTACCTATTTATCTACTTGGACTTTGACGTGCTTTCGAACTGCTAGGTTGGCAGGAGCAGGGACCGAGCAACAGGAGCTCACCCCGTCACGGGGATTCGAACCACCAACCTTCTGATCAGCAAGTCCTAGGCTCTGTGGTTTAACCCACAGCGCCACCCGCGTCCTGTTGTTTCTTTAATAACTCTGTAAAAGGTTCTGATTCTTCTTTAAAGTCACAGTTGTCCTTATCACGTAGTTGGTGTGTCTGGGAGATAAATTTTCAAAGACAATGGAGTGTACTTCTGGGGGTGACCAAAGTGACCTCCCTGGGGCACAAGCCTGGGCGGTGTGTCTGGAGGTCCTGGGCTGCCCAGACGACAAGACCCCGCTCTCAGCCTGGCTGATGTGGTCCAAAGCATAGCAGAGCAAGACCTTTGGCACCAGTTTGGCTGCAGGAGTTGCTCGAAGGAGGCGAACAAGGTGTTGTCCAACCATTTTAGGATTTGTGGAGGGTTCCATGGCACATCCCAGTCCGGTCAATAAATACTCCATGATGGTGGAAAGCAAGGGCAGAGTATGGCTGAGATGGGTCAGATAAGTCAAGTCTTCCTGAAGGACCTAAAGGAGCGTCTCCACCCCCATCGTTCTGCCCGGACACTGAGGTCCAGTGCCGAGGGCCTTCTAGCAGTTCCCTCCCTGCGAGAAGCCAAGTTACAGGGAACCAGGCAGAGGGCCTTCTCGGTGGTGGCACCCGCCCTGTGGAACGCCCTCTCACCACATGTCAAAGAGAACAACAACTACCAGACTTTTAGAAGACATCTGAAGGCAGCCCTGTTTAGGGAAGCTTTTAATGTTTAACGGACCACTGTATTTTAATACTTTGTTGGAAGCCGCCCATAATATTATTCCCTGTCTCAGTTGGTTTAGTTGAGATTCCTGCATTGCAAAGGGTTGGAGTAGATGAGCCTTGGAGGTCCCTTCCAACTTCCACAGTTCTATTTTTTATTAGTTTTACAAGATAAACCTCACATTTAACACATTAAAATTTCAAAACCAAACAAGATTCTTCCGAATCTTAGTTCTTCCCTCCTCCCCTCCATGGGTCCTTTAGATATCTTAATCAACTGCATATGTTCATCCAAATTTTAGTCGTCCAATATGTCCAAAGTCTTTGTAACTTTGCAAGAGTTATTCAAAGCCTGCCAAAGAGATTCAAGTGTTTATAGTGTTCTTTTAAATACAATCTGTATCTGTATTTGTCTCATTCTCTGTTGAAGCGTTGATCCTCCAGATTTTGGATTTTCCCAGTCAATCTGGCCACCTCTGCGTAGTCTAGTCGTTTCATCTGCCAGTTGGCCTTTGTCGGCCCCTTAGCCTCTTTACATCACTGGGCAAGCAGCTTCCTTGCAGCTGTAGTCGTGTAAACGAACAGTCTTCTCAAATCCTTCGGTATACAGTATCTGCACCAAAAATTCCTAAGAGAAAGGCTTGTCTTTTGATAAAGGTGATTTGATTCTAAGAGGGGACTTGTGGGCTGCATTTGGTACCTGGGCCTCAGGTTTAAGTTTTCTTTCTTTCTACGACCCTCGTACCTACGGGACTGCGTCTCCTGGTACGCCCCGCAGAGGACCTTAAGTTCCATAAATAGCAACACCCTAGTGGTCCCGGGCCCTAAGGAAGTCAGATTAGCCTCAACCAGAGCCAGGGCCTTTTCAACACTGGCCCCGACTTGGTGGAACTCTCTGTCTTATGAGACCAGGGCCCTGCAGGGCCTGTAAGACAGAGTTGTTCTGCCTGGCCTTTGGCTTGGAATCAACTTGATCCCCTTCCCCTCTATCCTTTTCCCATTCTCCTTCTGTGATGGAACCCCTATTTGGGGACTTCCCTTGGGTTTTTTTTTTTGGCCCACGTAGGACCAGTCTGGATAGTTAGCCTTGGTGAAGATTTGACGTTTTCACCCCCAAAAAGCTTTTGATTTGAGTTTCTACTGAAATGAGGCTGCATTTTAATGTTGTACTTTAATCTTGTTTTTAAGTTGTATTTTAATCAATTGTTTTTATACCTGGTGTTAGCCGCCCTGAGCCCCGTCTTGGCTGGGGAGGGCAGGGTATAAATTAAATTTGTTATTATTATTATTAAGCCCAAAATGTACGTATATGGAAAAGCACTTTACTGCTAATTAAAAGACCCTGTGTCCAGTATCCCTATGCATTTCACACAACCCACACCTTGCAACCAGTTACCAGCTTGCTGTTATTATAGTTCAGTTGCCCAGATTTGGGCGCATGCTCTGGGGCCTCCTTTCTACCCTCCAAGAATTGCCCCTCTGGCACCCTGTTTCCCAGAATCAATTCATTCTCCCATGGCACTCTGCCCTGTCTTCCCTTTGGCAAGAGAGCTGTCTCTTCCTGTTTTGTGGCTGGTTTCGTCACAGGGCCAGAAAACTTTGGAAAGGCCTTTTCCTTCCTCCTCCATCGTCTCCTGAATCGGGCCCTGGCTGGCTCAGATATTATTTATTATTTATACCCCACCCATCTGGCTGGGCTTCCCTAGCCACTCTGGGCAGCTTCCAACAAAATATTAAAATATAGTGGTACCTCGGGTTAAGAACTTAATTCATTCTGGAGGTCCGTTCTTAACCTGAAACTGTTCTTAACCTGAGGTACCACTTTAGCTAATGAGGCCTCCCACTGCCGCCGCCGCACTATTTCTGTTCTCATCCTGAAGCAAAGTTCTTAACCCGAGGTACTATTTCTGGGTTAGTGGAGTCTGTAACCTGAAGTGTCTGTAACCTGAAGCGTCTGTAACCTGAGGTACCACTGTACAGTAATGCATCAAACATTAAAAGCTTCCCTAAACAGGGCTGCCTTCAGATGTCTTCTAAAAGTCTGGTAGTTGTTGTTCTCTTTGACCTGTGGTGGGAGGGAGTTCCACAGGGCGGGTGCCACCACCGAGAAGGCCCTCTGCCTGGTTCCCTGG